GGAGTAGGGGATATTAGTACATAATTATCCTGATTTGAATTTCAATCTCAATCAAAGCATTAGATATAATCAATCAATTAATTTATAAAACCTAGAATGACCTTAATCAAAGCATTAGATATAATCAATCAATTAATTTATAAAACCTAGTATGACCTTGTGAGAAACCATGTTACATAATAACATGGCAAAATTGCTTCTTAGATTCACTTTTATCATGTATTACCTATTTTATTAACCCAACGGGGTGATTTATCTTGTTAAGACTCTTAAATTTTAATTTAAAAATGACTTAATTTGAATTTCCAGTCAAATACAAAAAAATTTAAGAAACAAAAAAGACTATTTATTTTGTATAATCTATCATTTTTTTTAATTGAGATAAAACATACCATAATTTCAAAATAAATCAATTTAAAATTACACAAAATCTTATATATTCAACTAAACTCACACACCAAAACCCCACAATCAAAGCCCCAAAAAGTGAGAAATGATAATCAAGTCTATTTAAACCAATCCCCAAATGACATTAAACTCTTTTAAGAAAGAGGTGAGTAACATCGTAATTTTAAAATTAATTAAATTTAAATTATACAAAACCTTAAATATTTAACTAAACTCACACATTCAAAAACTAACGTGGGAGAAGGAACCCACAATCGTTGTATAACCTATAATTAAAAGTACAATTACAAAGAAAAAAATAACATCAATGAGGGGTTGGATTAAGTGGTAAGCGATTTGTTCCAACTTATGTAAGATTTTAAATTCGAGATTTGATGTACACAACAGTTCTTGCTAGAAGACTCATTCACCATTTTCAAGTGCGCGATGTTGGTCGAATTCAAATTAATCGGGACGAAACCGGATAACGGTCGAAAAACCAAAAAAAAAAAAAAAACCAAAGAGAAAAATAACTATTCTAGTGTTTTCTTAAGAGAGAAAAAAAAATCGTAGAAATGACGTGTATACTACTAGTAAGGTCCAAGGGACATAATAAAATGTTAAATTCTGAAGGATAATATATTTGGACGAATCAACACGGTCCACTTGATAAGGGACCCACGCCAAGGAGATCAGAGGCGGAGACGGCCGCCCTCCAGTCTTCTACAAAAATCAAACCCAATAAAGGGACCAGTAAAAAAAAAAAAAGAAAATGAAAAACAGAATCAACGTTGTACAAACAACATCACAGTTTCAAAGAACGATGCAGATCTTGCCACGTAACCCTGCGTCTTATAATCGGATCCAAACCTATTTATATTCCACTCTTTATTCTCATTTTCTCGTCCGCTCCTCTTTTCTACCCCATATCTTCGCCTCATTTCTCTTGGTCTCTCTCACTGAGCGATTCTGCAAATCTTATCCATCCTTTAATCGAATCCGATCGGAAATCCATAGTTTTGGTGGCGATTCGATTGTTTGTTCCTCGGAATTTTTCGAGAAAATTTGAGTTTTTCTTTGTTTGTTTGTACGGCGGAGCGGAGAATTTTGTTGGAGGAGATTTGAGAATGTCTAACTCGTCGACGAGCAGCGTATACAAGCAAGTCATCGAGGATGTCATCGCCAAGGTCCATGATGAGTTCGTCAATAACGGTGGTCCTGGCAAGGATGTTCTCGGCGAGCTCCAAGGAGTAATTACTTTCTATTTCTTTTTATTTTGAAGAATCTTCCGTTTATGCGATTTCTGCTTTCTTTCTTTTCTAGTTTTGTATTCAGATTAGGGTTTTAAAAAAAAAAATAAATTTATGTTTTTTCTCGTAAAATCGGTAGTTGGGTTTTCGATTTGATCTGATTGGAACTAGGGTTTTGGGATTTTTAATTTATGGTGAGCTTGGTTGATCTATTTTTCCTTTTATTGTTTTTGCCTTCTGTTTGGAGGTCAAGTGAAGCTGATTTTGTTGAGTTGATGATGAATTTTGGGTAGCTATGGGAGATGAAGATGATGCAAGCTGGAGCTATACTCGGTACGACGGAGAGATCTTCAGCTCAAAAGCAGCCAACCCCTGGTGCTGGAATTACTCCCGTTCACGATCTTAATGTCCCATATGAAGGGCCGGAGGAGTATGAAACTCCTACAGCTGAGATGCTTTTTCCTCCTGTAAGTGTTTTTTTTAGCGGGTGTTTGCCCAACGGTCTTGAGCAGAGAGTGATTTTCTAGTGAATTGGAGTTTGAGTGTGCTGGGTTTTGTGATATTGAGGCTGGCATTTGAAATTTGCAGACACCTATGCAAACTCCAATGCCAACACCATTACCAGCAAGTACACCGTTACCAGGAAGTGCTGACAACTCTACGTATAACATTCCTACTGGTCCTAGTGACTATCCCACTCCCACAAATGATGGTGGGGGTAATACTGAGGGAAAAGGTGGAAGGCCGAACCCCTATATGGTAAGCAAATTTCTTTTGGTTCCTTTGGCAATGTTTTATTTTATTCATATTATTGTTTGGTTCTGTTTGGTTTATACGTGTATCTTCTGATTTTGTGTTAGAAATTTGTTTTATGGAGCCTTTTTGATTGCTTTACTTGTCAGAAAAATGTGATGAACTAATTGTAAATTTCTGGTTGCCTAGTATGAAAGAAATCACTTTGTATGTTTGCTATTGTCTTTAGTAATGAGTAATGACCTAATCTTTGACTGGCTTTCTTGCCACAGCAAACTCCTTCTCCTTGGTCAAATCAAAGGACTCCACTTAGTGTTGATGTTAATGTTGGTGAGTATTTGTCAAATCAGTGGTATGTCTTAACCAATAATGGTTCATGGTAATGCATATTATTTTGCTGTAGCTTATGTGGAAGGGCGGGATGAGGTGGACAGAGGAACCTCTCAGCAACCCCTGATGCAGGTAACACTCTTGTTATCAGAAGAATTGCAACTGCTGAATAGTTTTTGTTTGTCTGGTTCAGGAAGAACTCATGGTCAGATAGTTCTGGATGCCAAAGGTTTAATTTTGTTCTTTAGGGAAATTTTCCCTCAAAACCCCCCACCATCTTAGAATGATAGTGTACTTGTTACTTTGAAGTTGGTGATTAGCTTTAATATTGAAGAAAATCCCAGGACTTCTTTACGATGTCTTCTGGAAAGAGAAAACGTGACGATTTGGCTACACAATATCGCAATGGTGGATACATACCCCAGCAAGATGGATCTGGAGATGCTATGTCTGAGGTTTTAAAGATAGAGGTTAGTTATTCTCTTACTTAATGACACCACAAGCACACTGGATCAGTTAATGTGAAGGTTCTTATAATCTGT